GCTTTGCGTTTGCTGACCACCACTTGTAAGGATTTGCCGTCCGATCTAGGCGAACAGTTTTCAAATAAAAATCAACCTCATGTGCGACAGACATTTCTCCACATCCTCATCATTTTGTATATTATCTGTAGCGACTTCTTCAAAACAGTTCCACTCACACAAACAGTCAAACTGTCATGTATTTCAACTGCCTCCGTGACCGAACGGTTACCATGCCAGACTGCCACGCAGAGGTCCCAGGTTCGATTCCCGTGCCGGGAGAAATATTTGTATGACTTACATTTATTTCTCTCGTGAGTTTGGCTGTAATTTGTGGTTGTCACAGGGTTTCCCTAGTGCGGGGCTATGTTGGCACATGGGACTTGTCAACTTATGTCTCAGGGTGATGGATTTAAAGCTTCGAGTTGCATTGCAACTGTTACGGATAAGCGTGTCGCTTACCATCAGGCGCACGACTTGTTCGTCCCGTCACAAGGTATTATAAAAAATATGTATAAAACAGACGAAATACAGGGTACAACAGCAATCCTGACAGGTGACGGGATAAACGTATAAAAAAAATCGTCTGTATTTATTTGTCAGTCAATTTCCATAAGCCACGCGACGCAAAGGTGGCGTTTATGGTCGTAACCCGAATATAGCTTTTTCTATATCCTTTTTCTATATGATTATGATAAACTTACTGCTTGCAAAAGCTTATCTAGTTAGAAACGACTCATTGTTCGCCGAAGGTACACTTTATCGAACATCCGAAATACCGAACGTTACTTGTCCCGTCCCACATAACCCAATAATAGCTTCCACCTGGTAGGTTATCATACTACCTGTAACTAAAAATACCTGCCATGTCGCACCTTTAGAAGGAAAGCTAGTTCTAAAAATAAACAAAATGAGCTTATACCGTAAAACAACTTTAAAAATCATTGTTCATAAGTGCTCGAATAGCAGACTCGCTATTATGGGTCTCTTTAATATATTTGTAAATTCACTCCCGCGTTGGTATGTCGACGCCACATTTAGGGTCGTATTCCAGAACTCTACTCAATGCTCAAGTCAGGATATGAGTATGGTTTAAAGCACTCGAAATCATACCCAAGTCTCTGCCATTAGGGTCGTTTTTCCAGTGCTTGTGTTTCAATTGCAATCCTGACTTGAGCATTGAGTAGAGTTCTAGAATACGACCCTTAGTGTCGTATTCTAGAACTCTACACAATGCTCAAGTCAGGACTTGAGTATGATTCAAAGCACTAGAAATCATACTCAAGTCCTTGCCATTAGGGTCGTATTTCCAGTGCTTGAAATCATACTCAAGTCTGCTCAAATCCTGACTTGAGCATTGAGTACAGTTCTGGAATACGACCCTCAGTGTTGAACCTGCAAATACAACACGGCACCGTTGGCGAAAAAAGTGATGGACTCTCAATTGAGCTGTTTTAGTTTCGAAAATCAATGAAATTGATTGACAATCGAATAATTGTTTACAAAAGCGACGTACATGTGGTCAAATGAGATACACAATGTGTAAATCACTTCGAAAGGAGCCTCAACAAACATTATGTATCTAATTTTTTTTAACCGACTTCAGGAAAGAGGAGGTTCTCAATTATTTCTTTTTGTGTACACACATCAAAAAAAGTTTGCGATCAATAGCATAAGCTCCTATAATTCTTTAAATTTAACTTTATCAAGAAAAATCTATGTTGTATGCTTTCTTTAAATAGGAATACCCTGTTTGAAATTAAAATATAAAACTATTTTTTATTATTTATTTTAAAAAATTGAGCCATTAATCATCATGTAATAGTGATAGAAATTTCATAGAAAGAAAAAGACTGTTTAATTAAACTTAAACAACAATTTATTATTAAAAGGTGTGAATTCAATATAAAATAACTCCTCCCCTGGCTCGAATACATGCGAAGATCCTCCTGGGCATGCTGAGGATCAAGTTATCCAGCATTTCCTGGGGTAACCTATCCCATTCTTCAATAGCGGCTTCCCTGAGCTCTGGAACTGTCTGGGGACGTGGCTCACGGTTCCATACTGCTCGTTTAAGATCATCCCACGCGTGCTCTATTGGGTTTAAGTCGGGCGAGCCGGCAGGCCAGTCTAATCGTGTGATATCGTATTCTTGAAGAGCAGCATTGACTCGTTGAACTCGATGGGCGGGCGCATTATCATCGATCAGTACAAATTGGTGCCCATGGTTTACTCGGAATGGTCTGACGATATCATCAATAGCAACTGCTTTGTACATGTCTGCTGTCATGAAGCCCCGATACTGGATCAAAGGCGTTCTAGCTCCAATCATAATGCCACCCCAAAAGGACACCGATTTTCCGCCTTGCTGAACTGTTCCAGTGGCAGTTCTTTGTCTTTCACGGTCGCTTGGTCTTCTCCAGACACGGACACGTCGGTTATCTGGATGAGTGCTGATTCGGGATTCGTCAACGAAGAGACAGTTTTGCCAAATGTTTTCGTCCTCACCTTCTTCATTTTGCCGAAGTCTAGCCCACTGCAATCTTCGTTGTTGACGTTGCCGGGAATTGAGCGGAGCTCGCCAAGACCTCCGTGCTCGTAATCCAGCCTGGTGCAAGCAATTGCGAACGGTCTGCGTGCTAACTTCAAGCCCAGAGGCGGCCCTGACTTCTGCTTTTATTTTAGTGGCGTTGATTGTTGGATCACAGGCTGCCAGCAATCTAATATAGCGCTTTTGGGCAGCTGTCAAAACAGTTGGGCGACCGCTGCGGGGTCGGTCAGCTAAATTCCCCATTCCGTGATACCTCTGCAACGTAGCCACGACACAGGATTGGGATATAGCAAGTCTGCGTGCTATTACTCTCGTGGTGTATCCATCTTCCCTCAAAGTTACTATTCTAGCTCGTAAAACCTCTGATAATCCTCTGGGCATTTTTTCAATCACAACTTTCCGCGAAAAATATCTTGAATCGCTTATAATTGACTAAATCAGATTTCTGAATGAGCGTAAGCTAGGACTGAAAGCCTTTTTATGTGAAAAAACAATTGAACGGGGTCATTGTTTTATGTTCTAATTTATTTTTAAATAAAGAATCTAAAAAGAAGAAAAAATCATAATATAATCTACAGTAACAAAAAAGATTTCAGTTTTTCGAAGTGATCGCAAACTTTTTTTGATGTGTGTATGTTATACGATTACTCCGCAATTTGTGAACTGATTTTGATGATTATTTTTTTGTTGTATAGAAGATACCTACTTCAGTATCGGTCCCATATAAATTTGAAGAAAATATCCCTCCTCTAAGGGTGGCAGACTAGGGGATGAATCCGGTTTCGTGCACTTTCCGATAACCGATTTTAATAAAACTTTGCAAATGAAATTCTACGAACTTTTGAGTTCGGTTTTTTTTTATAAAAATGTTATAGCAATTATACACTTCTGGACACAATTCGAGCCACCACGCATTGTCAGTATTAAGCTTAAACAAAGTCTGATTGATCAAATTTGAAACTAGTGTGCTAAAATTCTTTTCAATAAGTCCTTGTTGGGAATGTGGATTTGCAAAACCGGGGAAAAACTTTTTCTTCGATGATAGCACTATTTTTGTATTCTAGCCCTTTACGACAAAAATGCGAAGTGGCTCTAATTATGTGTCCGGGAGTATATTTTTTATAATATCTATAACGGGACGTGCAAGGCGTGTTTGCTAAGCGAAACGCCTACCCATAAGAGGCACTGCCACAGCGCTCGTCACTGACTGTAGTTTTACAAACACTCTCACCCTTTAAAACCGGAACGCAGTATGCTCACATTAATGCTTGGCGGCAGAAATAAATTATTGCCATGCCACTTGCGTTGATGGCCGCCGAACGTTATTGAGGTGAAGCTACCAATTAACTTTAAAAGCATCTGGGGAAATACAAGCTGATCCTATTAATCATAAGTTATGCATACTTACTTACTTTCTGCAACGTAACGAAAAGGTCCGACCTTTTTACCCTTTCTTGCGGGTAAGCTTAATTTAGAATTTCGACGAAAATATACATATAACTAACTGCCTCAGTGGTCGAACGGTTACCATACCGGACTGCCACGCAGAGGTCCCAGGTTCGATTCCCGGGCCGGGAGAAATATTTGTACGACCTTCATTTATTTCTCTCGTGAGTTTGGATGTAATTTGTGGTTGTCTCTGTGTGAGTCCATGGCACCCGCGACACAGGGCTTTCCCTAGTGCGGGGTTATGTTGAGTGTGTGTGTGTGTGTGTATATATGTATATATGTATATATATATATATATATATATATATTGAAAGCACTAATATTTCTAATTTATTTTTTTTATTTTTTATTCTTTTCTTTTTAATGAATTTCTGGCGTCGAGCTCTACGGGCTTACTGAAAATCAGCGCTGTGGTAAAGCTACTGCAGCATATGCTGAGATAAGTCCCGTGTTGGCATGACGCTACAACACAGGCCA